AATACCTAAGACAGATTTGTTTTCTAATTGAAGGAATCAATAAGGGGAGAAAATGACATCTGAGTTAGGTGTTGAAGGGATCAAAATGTCCACAAGTAGAGAGTAGGTGCGACAGGGCATTTCTGCCAGAGGGAAAGTGTATCAGATGTAACCAAGCATAGAAAGCGTTGACGGATGATTGGTAGTCTAGTTAGGCTAAATTAGAGGGTATAAGTAGGTAGAAAACACTGTTGGTCGCAGGTGAAGGATTAGGACAAAATATGGAATATCTTGAAAGCCCAGATTAAAAAAAAATGTGGGTAGATGTGTGCAAGGAGTTCCAGCCCCAGGAAGTTTTAAAGCAAAAGCTTGATGTGTGATCACAATTTACAATAGCAATGTAACTATGGCAACAGTGGGAAGGAACAGATTGGAGGGGGAGAGTGCTCAGAGATAGAGAGACCAGTTGGGAGGCTTTGGAAAATTTGTGATATTCAGAACAAGGGTGGGGGAAATGGAAGTTAAAAGATAGATGGGAGAGATTGTGTGGAATAAAGCAAAATAAAACTGGTGATCACTGAGATAAGATTAAAAACGTAACTGGCTATATACTGCCCTAGCTGGTATTAAAAAAAAAGTTAAGGGCATAAAAATTTAGATAAAATGGAATCTAACCCTATGCAGTTTTTTTTTTTTTTAAGTTTATTTACTTATTGTGAGAGAGACTGAGAGCGCGCATGAGTGGGGTAGGGGCAGAAAGAGAGCAACAGAAATTATCCCACGCGGGTTCCATGATGTCAGCACACAGCCTGAAGCATGGCTGGATCCCAGGAGCCATGAGGTCATGACCTGATTCCAAGTCACACGCTTAACCGACTGGGCCACCCAGGTGCCCCTAACCCTATGTAATTAAATCAGGGCTACAATTTATTTTCCACTCATCAGCAGAATGCTTACGTATTCCAGATTGAATATGAACTCAGTGGTGTCTTTGGAGTATTGTTCTACAATAACATTTTAAAACATTTGAAAAACTAAGTTATTCTTATTGCAAGGTTTTATCAAGGTTTAAATTGTTTGATTAAACATAATACCAGGAGGCTACAAGGATGACTGGTTAATCTCAATCATTTTAGAAGTTATTATATGAGCACACTTGAAGGATTTTAGGTACATGTGAACATTTTAAAGAGACTAGCCTGCCTGCCTTCATAGTATATGGTAAATAACTTACATTTTCAATACATAATTAGACCTTGACTGCCCTCTAGCGTAAGAATCTTCTAAAAAGTACAGTTTGGAGTACAGCATGTATGGGTGCTTAGGCTCCGTTTGATCAGTCACTGCTGTGTGGCCTCTCTGTGCTAGGATCTGTGGGGTACTGGGAACACAGGATTTTCCCAGACCTTACCCTTTATCTTGAGGTCACTTGTTAAAGGCATAATCCCTTAATTTCTTCTTCTCTGGGTATCGCTATTCTTGGTAAAATTCGCTGGGAATACATCTGCTCACTGCGCCAGTTTTTAATACCAATTATCATTATGTTCATTGTGACAATATAAGAAAATCACATATACACACTTACATGAGCTAGAATTACCTACCAAGCTTCTACGAATGTCGAGTGTTGAACATGAAGGAAAGCATAAGAATTGCGTATTTGGAGGAGCGCTCTTTGCCTTTGAGACTGGTGCTTGCCCATTGGGTATTTGCCTGGATTCCTGTGTCCAGGGCTTGGAATAGTCTTTGTTCCTAGATTCAATTTCGCAGGCCCGTGAAGAGCATCTCCTTTGTGTCCAGGTGATCGATGCCCCAGAATATGCAAAAGAAATTTCTTGCAGATTGCCTGGATCTTTTTTCTTTAAACTTCTGTAGATCCAGATTTTCATTAAATATTGGAATTTCGTCAAGAAACGAATGCTGAACCATTGCTTCAATAAACCCTGGTTGTCAGCTGCCCTACACTAATGTGAGAAATACCGAATAGGAGCTATGGATCACACAGGCATTCAGAGGAAGATCCATGGAGGTTACAAGTCCCGTGCATAATGGTGTCTGTGAATAGCATGTGTGTTTCTGTTTCAGATTGAGTCTCATCGGGGAAGTGTAGGTACAGTAGCTAAGGTCAGGGGAAATAAAATACCAGGACTAAGAAATTCTGCATTGTTACCGTGATTGCCACGTATTTTCCATGTACTGTTCCCTATTTTCATTACCTGTATTAGCGGAGAGGATTCAGTGTTATTACCAAGGGTAATTTGTAGTGGGCTTTTAAGGAAATTATCTGTTATAGTTTTTATATCAAATTTGCCTTCCAACCTATTTAAGCTGATAAGAAAATTTGTTTTCATTCCTTGATTATACAGTGTGCATATGAGTGTGGTCCAATGTCCTGGAAACATAAAAAGGAAAAAAGAACATGTGAGTTTTCTAGTAGCTTAGTTTTCTAAAGAATGGAATATTTTATGCTTAGAAAATTGGGAGTTTAATTTATTTGTGCATACTGGAACATAATGTATGATTTTATTTGAAAATATGACATAACGAAAAATAAGGATAACTACGGGATGGCTTTTTTATTTCATGAAAATTAATTTCCAAACGTTTGTATGGATCATGGCTCATGTTCTGTATGTGTTAGATTAGTTCAGGGAGGGTTGTAACCACGATTTAAGGAAGTCATGGATCAGTGTGCTGTTTCTTCAGGAAATACTAAGTCTGAAAATCTGACTTCCATCTTTTTAGTACTGCAATATTTAGAACTATTTTCTTTTCTTATTTTTTTTTAAGTAGGCTCCACACCCAGTGTGGGGCTTGAACTCACAACCTCGAGATCAAGAGTCACATGCTGTACCGAATGAGCCAGACAGGTGCCCATAGAACTAGTTTCTTTATACCAGTAACTGCCTTCAAGTGTAAAATCTGATGATTTTTTTTTTCCCTCAAAAAGTAGTTTGCTGTCCTGTCTTTCAAAAACCATTGTTACTAAGTAACAGACATGAGAATTTTTTATCTTTCACCATAGAGATGTTTCTCTCTCATTCAGGTTCCTGTCCACCCCCAACTTGAATGCATTAGAAGCAAACATTTTCCTCTTCAGAGGATTTTGTACGTGCAGTGTCCTCCATATGTTATTTTAAATGTCTGACTTTTAAACTCTATTAATGCATTTATTCTTCAGTAAGATGTTTGAATGTAGTGCATGACATGTGTGTGCACGTGTGTGTGTGTGCACATGTGAGGGTACATACGTAAGCACTCGTGTAAGGTCGCATTTCGAATTTGAGGCTCTCGCTGCTGGAGACACGACCCTTGCTTGGAGCCAACAAAGTCGTTAGGTATATGCGTATGGGTGTGTTTGTGGGGAAAAGATGAAACAACAAAGCATTGCTCATTCAGAAACTTAAAAAGCTTTTGAAAGCTTTGTCAATAGATACAGTTCACCTCTATGTCCTGCAATCGATGGAAATATCTTAGTCCATTGTCTCTTTATGCCAGTCTCATCTTCAGTAGATGGTCTAGCTGTGTGTTTACTGGTGCCCTTTAAAGCTTATGTGGATCATGTTTATGGTTGTTGTTTGTTCCTATCAAATCCGTGGCTAAGCTGATATTAAACTTCTGTTATTTACGATGTCTTTCCCGACTCTTAAGAGGACAACAGATGAGCACCTGGGTGGCTCAGTCCATTAAGCGTCTGACTTTGGCTCAGGTCATGGTCTCAGGGTTCATGGGTTTGAGCCCTGTGTCAAGCTCTGTGATGACAGCTCCGAGCCTGGAGCCTGCTTCAGATTCTGTGTCTCCCTTTCTCTCTCTCTACCCCTCCCTTGCTCTCTCTCTCTCTCTCTCTCTCCAAAATAAGTAAATACATAAACATTAAAAAAAAAAAAAAAGAACAGATGAGAACAAATACTTAAGCAGTACCTACTGACTCTGCCAGCTACTGGAGGCGGGGTGGAAAGAACACAGGCTGCAGCATTAGGCGGCTCCGGAATGCTGCCACTTGTCACTTGTGTGACTTTGGTCAACGTCACTTAAATGTCGTCTTCCATCTAACCCAGGTCTTAGCTGAGCTGATGGTTTATCCTTTGACTTATCAGTTCAGTGGACCCTTGTCTCCATGCCCCATTGATTTCCTAGGGACTTATGTTTTCATGGCTGTCCTGTACTCCTGGCATTTTCAATCTATGTGTATCTTTATTTTTACACACACACACACACACACACACACACACACACATATATAGATATAGACATAGGTATAGATATAGATATAGGTATATAGATAGATAATCTAAATATATATATATGTATATATATATATATATATGATATATATATATGTATATATTTGCCCCACTGATCCTGATGTTGGACTTGACCCTTTTGTTTCCCCTCACAACTTAAACACAGCGTTTGTATGTGTAGCACATTATGATGAAAATGTGAGATACTGGAAGAGTTTTGTCCTTAACCATCTTGTCTGGGAAATCTGTCAATGGTTACCCTTCTGTGCCATTTATCTCTTTACCTTGCGGCTTTCTCTCTGTCTTCCTCACTTCCTGGCAGCTTCTTCCTTCTCTCACATCCACAAGTGTCTACTCATTTCTTGTGCACAGCAGTTCAGATCTCTTTTATTGGCTTCTTTCCGGCCATGTCGTCAAGTTCATCTCAGATTCTGTTGGCAAACCACCAAGAGGCTGGTAGGTGTTTTTCCTGCAGAAAGATAATTCCCTGCTGAACAGGGGCTGAGGGAGGAAGCATCACCCACCTTGCAGTGTAACTGAGGTTTGATAACCCATCTCTCCATTGGAAGCCCCTTGTCTTTTCCCCTCCTCGAAGCTGGTTCCTTGTGATAGTGGCCGATCATATGTATGAAAACACTTCATACAACGTGAACCAGAGTAAGAGAGATGGTATTATTACCAACTTCACAGTAAGTTTAGTTACTGATGTTGTGTGGTGTCCTGTCTCCTCTTGCAATGTCCTATCCAGTGGTCACCGGAATCTCTTTCCATTCACAGCTGCCCGAGCCGAAGTGTGTAGCGGCACCGGGGAGAGGTTCCGAATCTTCCGCGCGGAGAAAACCTATGCCGTCAAGGCAGGAAGGTGGTATTTTGAATTTGAGGCTGTCACTGCTGGAGACATGAGAGTCGGATGGAGCAGGCCACGTTGTCAACCTGACCAAGAGCTGGGCTCAGACGAACGTGCCTTTGCTTTTGATGGCTTCAAGGTGAGCAGACATTGCTGAGCACCAGACACCGAAATTTGTAGGCTCCGGGTATTGTAGGCTGCTGTGTCCCAGGCATCTACATACTCTGTGTGTGTGTGTGTGTGTGTGTGTGTGTGTGTGTGTGTGTGTGAGAGAGAGAGAGAGAGAGAGAGAGAGAGAGATTGATTTCCGCTGCCATTCCTTTGGGTAGGGCAGTAAAATCAGGACTTTCTGGAGCACACACTCAGGAGAAATAGTTCCCAAGAAAATTTTGTCCTTGTAATCTCAAAACATTTCCCCCACAGGGAAATTCAAGAAGTAACACATTGCTACCCAAAAAATGAATCATCCTTATCTATCAGAAGTGTTAAAATGCATATGCTACTTTGGAGCGCCTGGGTGGCTCAGTGGGATAAGCTTCTGACTCTAGATTTCAGCTCAGGTCGTCATCTCACAGTTCATGAGCTCCAGCCCCGTATCAGGCTCCGTGCTGATGGCTGGAGCCTGCTTGGGATTCTCTCTCTCCCTGTCTCTGCCCCTGCTCGCACTCGCTCTCCCTCTCTCCCCAAAATAAATAAACATTAAAAAAAAACTATTAAAAATGCATACACTTTGACTTAGCAATTCCATAGAAGAAATTTATCAATGATAGGTAAACACATTTAATAGCCACAAGAATGCTAGAGACTGTTGTTTATAATTACAAAAAGTTTTCATTTTCAGCATTATTAGTAATATTTCTTAAGGTGGATGGAAGCTGGTCAGGTGCTTATTTTATTATTTACTTACACATTATATAAATGTTTAAAGATTATTTTATGTACATAAATTATTTAAAAATAAAAAAAATAATATGTATATGAACCTAGCCACAATAGAATGGTAGTCATTTTTTGATTGATAAAATTATAGAAATTTCAGTCTTTTCTATTCTGTGATTTTCTTCCATGAATTTACATTCCTTTCATATGAAGGGGAAAAGTTATTTTTAATTAAAAGGAATGTTAGAGTAAATAAGCAATCACGAGGAGATTTAACATTTGAGTACTGAGGTAGGCATGAGTGGGACAGCATTTCTAGGCTAGAAATTAATAATGTGTCTTCCAGGGGACAACAGACCCACTTTGTTGTGAAACACCACATTTCCTGAACCTGTTTTTTATTTCAGATAGAAAATCTAACACTTATTGAAAGCTAACACCTTCTGAAATAAAATTTTTAAAAGTAGAGTGTATTATACTTGAAAATAATCATATCATTACTTTACATTGGTGACTATACCCCCTGACATATCAGTTTGCAATGAAGGCGATGATTGAGGGGAAAATGAGACTTATCTGACAAAATAATTGATGTAACTAATTTTGATCCCATAAATCATTGGAATGTACTTATAGATTCATAAGTCACATTTATCAAAAATGTGTTTGAATTGTATTTATAATGTGAAATTTGGCCTCTGTATACAAAACATTGTTGGCACATTTAATTTTTGGTGTATTATTTCAGTAAACATCCTAAGAATATTTTTAGGTTTGATTTGGAGCTTTTTAAGTTTTAGTATATCTTGAAATGCTTCAAGATGTCTGTTTTGTTAAAGTATCCATGCCATTGGTTCCAAGGAATGGAATTTTATTTTGAAGTAGATGAAAACTAGAATGTCATTTTCAGTGATAAATTCTCAGCTTTATTCTCTACTCATAATTCTTTGCATTTTGGGGGAATGGAGAAAAACAACCCAAATCCTGAGAAGCATTCATTTTAGTGAGAAAAAATAACCTCTAAAGACACAGAGGTTTGTTTGTTTGTTTTAAGTAGAAAGTGTGTCAGGTTTGATTTTTAAAGTCATCGTTCCTCAAAGTAATGACATAGCATTTGGGTTGTTCTTCAAGATTCCATAGCATACAGTGTTAATCAAAGGGACGTAGAATTCCCAGGCACCTCCACATCGCTTAGGGTGTGTGACCCGCTGGTGCGTGGGGTGGCACTGAGCCCTTCCTCCTGCTGTGTTACTAGAAGGAGCTGCTGTGAGTCATACCAGTAGTGGTGGGTGGGTGCTGTTCTCCCGGCTTTGTCTGTGACAAGAGACTCTTCTGTCCCTTAGGCCCAGCGGTGGCACCAGGGCAACGAACACTATGGGCGCTCTTGGCAAGCGGGCGATGTTGTGGGATGCATGGTGGACATGACGGAGCACACCATGATGTTCACACTGAATGGCGAAATCCTTCTGGATGACTCGGGCTCAGAACTGGCGTTCAAGGACTTCGACGTTGGTGACGGTAAGTGGCCTTCGGGTTCGCAGCACAGCGAGGCCGATTGTTCTAACGTTTCATAAGCAGCCATCTTCGACGGTGAGTGAGCAGATGAGTTGCAGCTGTAAATTGCCAGGGTGCCATATGGCTTATTTGATCAGACACCCTTGAAATTACTTTAGCAGAAACACTACCTCTCCTGCTTAGCTAGGATTTCAGTAAGGCAGAAATGGCTTTTATGCATGTGAATCAGAAAATAAATGGCAGGCAAAAGGATAGTTTTCCACAAACGTTAAATTTTCATTTAGAACTTCCCTGTTTAATCAGCTGCTTATAGCTTCTTTCTGTTCATTCATTTCACAAAAGTGTAATGAGGACCTGCCACATGTCAGTCCCTCCGCTGGATGCTGAGATGACAAAGATTAATAAAACGCTGTCCTATTTTTATGTAGATTACAGTATACCGGGGAAGTCAATACTGGAATAATTTCTGTTCAGTGGGGAAGCTCTAAATTGAAGAAACGCAGAATGTTCCATGGAAGCACAGTGCAGGGCTTTGAGGTGACCTTGAGCAAGGTTGTGAAGGAAAAGTGAAAGCCCTTTGGAAATAAATGAAAAATTCATTCTTCAGAGCTGCCCTTCCAGGAAGTTGGCCACTGGCCGCATGGGGTTATTTGAATTCACGTTAATTTAAATGAAATAAAGTTACAATTGAGTTTCCCAGAGGCATTTGCTCCATTTCAAGTACTCAGTGCCCCCCTGTGGCTAACTGGTGCCTCTCCTGAACAGCTCAGACTTAGAGCCTTTACATCATCACAGAAAGTTCTTTTGGATAGTGTTGCTCTAGAGCATGTAAGCAAGACAGTACTTAACAAAATACTATACAAATATCTCATTTTAAAATGAGTAAACACATTTTTCTTTCAAAATGGCTTTGGGATATAACTTATTATTTGAATATATATATATATACATATATATATATACATATATATATATATATATATATACATATATATATATATATATATATAGTCATGGATTTTAAGAGATATACCTCAGTCGGTATTTTTAGTATTTATAAACCGGTCCCTGATCCTCAAAAGTTATCCAGTTCATTCCTTGATTTAAACTCTATATTCATTCATTCAACAAGCTTTTAATTAAAAAAAAAACTTTTTTTAATGTTTATTTATTTTTGAAAGAGAGAGAGAGAGAGACACAGAGTGTGACAGGGGAAGAGGCAGAGAAAGAGGGAGACACAGAATCCAAAGCAGGCTCCAGCCTCTGAGCTGTCAGCACAGAGCCTGATGCTGGGCTCAAACTCCTGAACCGTGAGATTATGACCTGAGCCAAAGTCAGATGCTTAACCGAATGACCCACCCAGGTGCCCCTTAAATTTTTTTTAATGATTAGTTATTTTTGGGGGGAGGGAGAGGCAGAGAGAGAGACACACACAGAATCCAAAGCAGGCTTCAGGCTCCAGGCTCTGAGCTGTCAGCACAGAGCCCAACGCGGGGTTCAAACCCATGAACTGTGAGATCGTGACCTGAGCCGAAGTTTGACGCTTAACTGACGGCCACCCAGACACCCCATCATTCAACAAGCTTTGATCAGGCACGTCCATCATTTCTCAAACACAGATTTGTAAAACTAATGGGAATCTTATTATTTTATAACTTAATTTCTGTTTTGCACACGTGTGTGTATCTCTGGGTGGAGAAACTGGTACTCTACCGACCCATCACTCATCTCCCTTTCTCTGGGATTATGTTTGACTGCTAATGTATCTGGGGGCCAGGTGGGAGAGGGGCTTCTTCTGTGTTCTGTGTCTGTACTGGCCAGTACCATGGGTATGTCCTGAGATTTTATTGTTTAATTGGTTGTTATTTAATAATTGTTGCATACTATGCCTTCCTTCATCGGAAGTAAATGCCTATTTGAGTTCTTTTGTTAAATTTATGCCACATAAATCTATGTGTAATGTTAGAATTATAAACCATGTGGAATGCTCATCCATACTGTTTAAGCATGTAACAAATGTTCATGCCACAGCACCGTTGCAAAGACCAGTCACCATCGTGGTGATGAACTGGACTGAGTGAGTCTGGCTGGCACAGTCATGTAAACAGCATTTTTGATTTTACACCTCATAGCATTTCAAAAATTTTTTAAATGACTTGAACCCTATACTGGTACATCTGCTGTACAGTTAATACAACATTCTGATGGATTATCTGGAAAATTTATGGTGCATATTGTTGGGCTTTTGTTGGAGGTGTTGGGGAGGTATCTTTTGGTCTCTAAGGCATGTTGTAAGTTTCATGTAGCCATGATCATTAATGATTAACAATTAGCAAGTGGTCATAATTCTAGACTTTCTTCCATAAAATGGAGTTTTATGCCTATGACTTTAAAATACTTTTTAGAGTGGAATTTTCCATTTCTCTCTCAATTATCTTTACATAGCTTACTAAAAAAAATAGGAAATTCGATGGGTATGCTCTGGGTATAACTATAACGGGACACTCTGAGATGGGCTCCTTAATTGACCCACCACGACTAAGAGATAGCCCTTGAGACAACTAGGGTTCAAAAGAGCAAGTTTGAAAAACCATTTATTTAGTTCAACAGATTTTTTAGCACAGGAATATGTTGTAGTTGCTAAAGCACTACGGTGGCCATCCTTGGATCCTGTCTACTCAGAAGGATAGGGGAGGGGAACTCTAATGTGTGCGGGGCATCCCCAAGCATTCCTCTTCATCGGGCATCATTAGAAGTATATATAATTCTCCCCGTGTGTATGCAGTTAACCCATCAGGAGTCATTTTTATCACAAACCATGTTGTGTATAGTGTGAATGTTGATATTCACGCTTTTACACACAGAGTTCCGGTAGCCAGACACCTGCCCCTTTGCAAGAACCTGAAAGGAGTTTTGACTAATCCAGTCCATCTTCGTAAAGCCGGAGATTATTATCCCATATCAACTTTAGGACTCAAGCTTTTTAAGTAATCATTTTTTATATGGAGTGTATATACTTCCTCTTGATATACTTCCTCAAGAGCCTAGTGGAAGTGAGTCTTACCATGTTAGGTAGGGGACAAGAACAGGGCTAGTAGAAATTTGAAATATATGTATTTATATTATTTATATATTTATAATTTAGATTTATGATTTATAATTAATATATATTATACAATGTATAATACATTACATGTATATATAATTTATATAACACACAATATATTTATAATTTATATTTATGTTATATATTACAAATACATATAATTTATATTATTTGTATATTATTAATACGTATTTTTTCATTTATCTTACCACATAGTTCTTTTGATTGCCTTAATCATCACTATACATGTGTCTAAGCTCACCGTCTCTGTACCAATAAGGAGGAATTAGGATAATGGTAAAACCTGCCAAAACAAGCATGGCACAGATATAAAGGCAGGTTGTAAGAAGAATGCAAACCTAAAACACTTACAAAATCTTTCAGTACTTTAGCAGCCGTGGTACCTTCCTGCACTAAGCAGTCTGTTGTCATAAATGGTTTTCAAACTTGTGATATGGCAAGAAATGAAATTGGAAATGATGAGAATGAGAATAAAGGGAACAACAAATCTATCATTATTTGCCCATAATATGATTATTTGTCAGACAGTAATAGGAATCATTTAGCAAGGTAGCTAAATTTCCATGCTAGATGCAAATGTGAAACTGAATTAAAAAGAAGATACCATTTACAGTAACTTCAGGTATTTTCAGTAACTAATTTTCACTCTAACCTAAGGTGTACAATACCTTTACAGAGAAAAATCACTGAGCTTTATTGAGAGATTAACTGTATTAAGAGATTTATCATATATAGTCAGCTGATCTTTGACAAGGATACCAAGACTACATAATGGGGAAAGGTTAGCATCTTCAATAACAAGTGCTGGGAAAACTGGATATTCACATGTAAAAAATAAAATTGGATCCTTCATTCAATTCTGGACCATACACAAAATGTTCTTGTGGCTATACACAGAATGATATTGGACCATACACAAAATCAACTCAAAATGGACTAAAGACTTAACTCTAGGACCGGAAACTGTAAAATTCCAAGAAGAAACATATGGGATTGGCTATTTGGCAGTGGCCTTGGCAATGATTTTTTTGGATATGATACCAAAAGCAGTAAAAAAAAAAAATGGATAAATGGAGTTATATCAAATTAAAAACCTTTTGCACAAGAAAGGATGCCATCAACACAATGAAAAGGCAACTTATGCAATGGGAAAAACATATTTTCAAGCTGTATATCTGATAAAGGGTAATTTTTTAAATTTATAAGAAGCACCTGCAACTCATTGGCAAAAACAACAACAAATGACCCTTTTCAAAAATGGACAAAGGAACATAATAGATATTTCTCCAAAGAAGACATACAAATGGCCCTCAGTCATATGAAAAGGTGCTCAACATCACTAATCACCATGGAAATGCAAATCAAAACCAGAGTGAGATATCACTTCATACCTATGAGCAAAAAAACTAAAGATAGCAAATGTTGGTGAGGGTGTGGAGAAAAGGAAACCCTCATGCACTGTTGGTGAGAAGGTCAACTGGTACAGTCACTATAGAAAACTATATGGAGATTCTTCAAAAAATTAAAAATAGAACTGTGTCATCCAGCAATCTTCCTTCTGGGTATTTATCCAAAGGAATTGAAATTAGGATCTCAAAGAGATCTCTGCAATCCCACATTCATTGAAGGATTATTCACAATAGGCAAGGTAAGGAAACAACCTAAGTGTTGACAGATAAATGAAGAAAATGTGAAATGTACATACAATGGAGTATTATTCAGCCTTAAAAAAGATGTAAATTCTGCCATTTGTGACAACATGGATAGCTGGAGGACATTATACTAAGTGAAATAAGCCAGATACAGAAGGACAGATCCTAAGTACTACATGATACCATTTACATGATGAATCCAAAATAGTCAAACTCCTAGAAAC